AATATTATTTTATTCTATTTTTAATTAGTAATTTTAATTGATTATAAATTTTTGTAGCGTTGTAGTCAATTAAATTATTTAAAAATAATACACATTACCAAAACACGAACGAACAAATTTTATCTTTGTTCGGCTCGTTTATATCTCGAGGTCAAAAAATTGTTGTGTTCGGCTCTTTTGTTTAGCGATTGAATTAAACACAAGCTCCATAACGAGTTCAACACGAGCTGTTCGCGAACAGCGATCCGTTTTGACAGCCCTAGGTATAGTGACAAGGATTGTGATGGTTCGACGGTGTTGGCAAGGCAGGGACTGTGGCGGCCAAATGACGCTGGTTTAGTGATTACAACAGTGGTGGCCGAGCAATAAAGGTTGGTCAACGATGGTGGTGACGACTTTAGTCGCTATGCATGGTGGTCTAGTGGTGATGGTGGTCAGATGACGATGGTACAATTGCAACGACGGTGGTAGTTGCGCAACAGTGGTCTTGGCGGCGGCGGCGACGACAACGTTGGCGGCCGTGCAACAATGGTCCAATAATAACGACGACCAGGCTTTGGATCTTGGGAATCCTCAAGAACTTGGAGCTCCTTTAGCTTCTCCTCGAGGGCTACATAGACCTTCATGAGTGGTCTTGGCGGCGGCGGCGACGACAACGTTGGCGGCCGTGCAACAATGGTCCAATAATAACGACGACCAGGCTTTGGATCTTGGGAATCCTCAAGAACTTGGAGCTCCTTTAGCTTCTCCTCGAGGTCTAAATAGACCTTCATGAAGAGAGTGATGATTTATAGATTTTAAGAATGAAATCATTCATAAATATTGTATCAATCTAAACGACTTCATCGGATGACTCAGGGTAATTCTCTGATCAGATGTAGTTTTATGAGTATTTGAATGTTTTAATGATGTCAAATTTAGGTGATCTTAGGCTCGTTGGATTTGTCTCGTTGAGACGCTTAAATCGACTACAAATTTGTCTGGTTTGGAGATTTTTTGGCCTTTTAAAGTATGTTTCAATGCTTTTTTTTTACTCTTTAAGTACATGATCTGGGCTGTATAACCTGAATACAATGAAAAATGTGCAATGGTCGCTCCACCAGCACCTGCGTGTAGTGTCAAATAAGCAAGAGTTATCACATAACAGACGAATGCTGGTAAAGAAATTAGTCCATGAAACTAATGTAACTAATATTATGATAAAATCTTGGAATACAAGTACTCGCAATGGTAAATTACTGGAATTAGTTGATATTATGCTTCATTGAAAGATTAATATCTTATGTATTCAAGAAACTAAATGGGTTGGAGAAAATGTTAACAAGATTGATAATTTATGTTTTAAACATTGGTATTCCGGTCAGAGTCATACTAGAAATGATGTAAGTATAATTATATATAAGAGTTTGGAAGATAATGTTGTAAAAATTATTAGAGTTGGGGATAAAATTATGGCCCTTAAGATTATTACTGATACTGAGATTTTTAATATTATAAGTGTTTATGCTTCTCAAGTAGGTTTAGATAAATTTTGGAATGACTTAGAAGACTTAATACAAATGATACCTCTTGAGGAAAGAATTTTTATTAGAGGCGATTTAAATGGACATGTCGATAGAGTGGTAGAAGATTTCAGAAATATTCATGATGGCTACGGCTTTAGAGTGACTAATGAAGAAGGTAAAGTCATTTTAGACTTTCCTTTTGTGTATGATTTTGTCATTACTAATACATTATTTAAGAAAATGGATGAGCATCTTATTACTTATAAGAATGAATCTAACAAAACACAAATTGATTATTTTCTTATGAGAATAAGAGGTCGTCGAGATTGCAAAGATTGTAAGGTCATTCTAAGTGAGGATTTAAATACCCAACATCGATTATTAATTCTAAATTTTAAGATAAAGAGTTGTAAAAAAAAGAATAGTATGACTTTTCATCGTAGAATTAGATGAGGAACTTAAAAGACACAAATAAAATTATTTTTATGAGTAACATTCAAGATTTCAAAATTTGGGATGTTCATGAAGATGCAAACGCTATGTGGGATATAGTTACAAACACTATTAAACAAGTAGCAAAAGATGTACTTGGAGAATCAAAAGAAAAATTTTCTATTAATAAAAATAGTTGGTAGAATAATAGTGTGCAAAAAAAGATAAAATGTAAGAAGTTATGTTATAAAAAATTGGTTTAAATGTAAAAACTTAGATAACAGGGAGAAATATCAAACAATCTGTAGGGAGTCTAAAAGAACAATCTGTGACGCTAAAAATTTTATTCTTAGGAATCCTTAGTAATCTTTATAATAGATTAGGTACTAAGGAGGATGAAAAATATATGTATAAACTAGCCAAACAAAGAGAAAAAAAAAAGTAAAGATTTAACTCAAGTAAAGTGTATTAAAGATGACGATCAAAATGTGCTTTTCTTATAAAAAGATATTCAACATAGGTGAGTAAGTTATTTTGATAAACTTTTTAATGAAGTTTATGAAAATACGATCGACCTTAGAGATTTTAATATCGTTAATAATAATAAACTGTTTTTTTTTTACCGCCGCATTAGTAAAAAAGAAGTTGAGACTTTAAAGAAAAATAGTGGTGGAAAGTCTATAGGACTTGATGATATCCCAATTAAAGTGTGAAAAAATTTAGGAGATTTGGGAGTTTCTTGGTTTACTAAACTCTTTAATATTATTTTAAAAACTAAAAAGATGTCTGAGGAGTAGAGGAAGAGTATTTTGGTCCCCATTTTTAAGAACAAAGGGGATGCACAAGAGTGTGCAAATTATAGAGAAATTA